ATAGTAAATAGACAATAGTATATAGTAATATATATATATATATATATATATATATATATGTTTACGTTTCGTTATCACAGCATCCCTGTGCACAAGTTTCTCTCTACATTTTAACATGCGTATGTAAATATCTTAACTCGATATTGCGTTCGCCACTACGGTTTTATGCACCCGAGAGTGAGTCTAACGAATCAAGATATATGTAAGATGCAGCAATATGTTGTGGAATGCAAATGACTGGCGATTAACCATATGGTTTGATACCTTACATGCTTGACTTCGCAGGAGCAAAGCACATATGGGTATCAGGCTGGAAGGCAACTTTATTGAAAGGATTAAGAAAGATCATCTCGCAAACAAAGCAGGTAGGCAGAAATTCAGCTTGCGCTATTTGTTTTGCTCTCGGCCATCGTTTGAATGTAGTGAATAATAGGTAAAAACAGAACTACATATTTGCGAGTTAGATTCGTTTTTAAACCTCAGGCCCCGGCAGTAAGTCGACTGTATGAAATATCCATGTTCGATTCAAACAGAGGATGCCCATTGCAGCTCATTCATACTATTGACCTATATTGACAACCAGGGCTTAAGCGTGGACATGTGCTCATCACTATCAATAGAATGAACTGCATAGGGGAGCCAAAGGAAGTTATCTACAAGATGCTGCAGGAAGGTAAGGGGTTTGCGGTGCGATGCACTGGTTCCCCCCGCCCCCCCCCCCCCCTCCATGCTAATATCATAATAGTGGCGTCTCCACGCGCAGAGAACTTGTCTTTTGAATTCAGGATCGTCGCTTAGGCTACATCAGAAGTGAACTTTCTGTGTGGATGTATCGACTTCAATCGCACTTTCTTTGGTTCAGTATGTGTATTTCGGCTGCAATTTATGCAGAGCTATGTTGTGTGATTCTACTAATGACGTCGCTACGCGACCATACATCAATACAGGTGGTCTGGTGGAGACGATGGCAGCAGAGGTATACACAAGCCTGACGCGTAAATTTAACACAAACACGATTCTGAAACACTCGTGGAATAAGTTCCATATGGACGCGTGATGCACAACATATTACAAATGTATCCGTTAAGTATCAGTGGCACCGCCTAAACAGACAGTGCCATAGACGGACAATGCCAGAGGTCTCAGGCTAGACCTGACAACCTACCGCCACCTCTGCTTCATCTAATTGAGGCTGTCTCAATCAGTTTCTATATGAGCACAAAAGTAGCCCCTCCTATACCAAAGCCGGTGTCAGAAATATCAAATAATTAATAGAACATGCATAGATCGACCCAATTCATATGATTAGCTCGATGCGAGTCAAATGTCAAGACGCGTGATATTGGTATCGAGCGCAGGACTTGAGTCATGCAAGGATTCGAGATTTAATATAATCAAAGACGAAAAACGAGAAATGCGTCCAGATCTCGATCAGCTACTAAGCATGTGAAACCAATTGGGATTCGAGCTGTCACAACCGGCCGCCAGTTTACTCGGTTGCAGATACCGATAGAACACTGAGCGATACTGAGAACCTAGGATCGGTACATTCCCATCGAGTATAAAAGTAAAAAAACAAATATCTTCAGACCCAAAAAAGTGTCCAAATCGTGCTCAATTGTCATGGGAAGAATTTCCACAAACTTTAAGCGAGGGACGGCAGTCCGACTTTGTTCCAATTTGTGTACTACAACGCTCTTCACATGCTCGTATGATTTTCCAAAATATAACCGCAGACTACTAGTTACTCAACCCATGCTCTTCGAGAAGGCAGAAGCTCTGCTCTGCTCCACAACACGTACAACATGCGCGTCCACTATGATATGGAATGTATTTCAATATCTTTATTTCATAATTGCACTATCCAAGCTAGACAGGTATCGGGTTCTACAAGCTCGCCGGATGATGGAAGTCCTGTACATTATATAAGAACTAGTGTAAATAACACCTAGTACGAGCTCTAATGCACAGGTAGGATGAGCGGCTACAACGAAAGCTGACAATTGACAACGAAATAGCAGCTATCACAACAGCTAATATTGACAGCAAACTAACAGAGCCTATCTATCCGGCCCTGGTACCTCCCCCCCCCCCCCCCAAATTCACGAGACTGATACAACAAACAGCTCGTGAGGTCACTGAGTGTTCTATACGCATACGCTACAACTCGTAACTTTGATGGGGAGGGGGGCTCTAATACCCGACAGCGTCTATGAGGTTCCTAAACTTATCACCACACTGCAATGCTGCGGAGTCGTATAACGCACGTCGCTTAAAGAAGCCTTAATTCACTAATACACCACCCGAGAGCATATGGAAGCGTAGACAAGCGACTATGCGGAGATGCGAGAGAAATACAGGGGCATGCGTGTGTGGCAACAAGACTAATGTTGCTATAGGTGGGCTTGTGTAGTGCAGAGGGAGCAATCCTTCCACCCCAATTGCGTTGTTTACGCGTTCGTGTTCTTGGATTTTCTTGAACTGTCGCCTTTGGTCGGGATTGCTGGCGACCTTCTGTGTACAACTATAATTGTTGAAAGAAAGAAAGAAAGAAAGTGAGCGAACTGCAAAAGTGGTAAACTATCGCGAAGGGGCGAGGGAAATAAAACTTTCTGGAGTTTAAACAAAAACCAACCTCTCGGTATCTGAGCAAGATATATACCAAGAGCAGCGAGAAGCGTACCGCACTAAACATAAAACTATACTGGGAACAATTGGTCCCACTGTGCCGTTAGATACCCGACTCTATGTGCTAGACTGGTAATGCACTCCTGCGCTACGGTAGAAAAATAAAATAAAATAACACACACGGAGGGCGGATAGGTTCAAAGTAGGAAATGAATGAATAAATCTGGAGCTCAACTTACTCTGACTGCTCAGCGTCATGTATTGTCGACCGATTAAAGGTTGTTGCCAGGCAGACGTGTGTACCTAAAAGGCAAAAGAAATGATTTAAACGATAAGCGATTTTAGAACGGAGCTGGGCGAGGTAAAGCCAAGTGCGGTACCATAAAAGACAACAATGGTAATGGTTGCTTGATGGGGCTATAGCGTTGAAAATGGCATACGATCTGACTACAAGATACAAATGCAAAAATATATCAGAAATCCAATGCCAATTCCAAGACGCAAAACTTAGAGAAACTGTATATGCACACCTTGAAGCCATAGCACATTGGAGTATAGCGTGAGGGGAACTGCAGCGGTCGGCACTCGGGAAAGGCAAAGAAAAGCATTTGTATCCAGCTGGTTCCGAAGTGAGCCCCTGCGAAAGTGATACATTTAAAGGTCAATATTTGGCGAATTTCATATCAAAATAAATAAATAAATTTTATACATAGCAGGCAAACTAATAGAAAGCGGCCAGCCGCACCAGATAGCCAGAAAATTGGTTAATTATGAGGTGACAAATGAAAACTATAATAACACCGATATGTAGCCATAGCCCACATACCATCGAGATTAGACTGTTCGCTTAAGGTGATCTGTTCACAAAGCGGACATAGAACACGGACTCTATTCTGTTTGAGCGTATCTGTGCATTCCGGAAGAAAAAAGAAAAGAAGATAAAATGGCCAAGAAATCAGGTCAGTAATTCCCAGTACTCGCAAAATTTATGCTCCAGTCTTCGCGTTGAGAATCTGTAGGTCTGTACAGGGCAATACATATGCATAAAACACATACATTTATACATGGAAAGCACATACACACACATATATACATATACATAAACAATACACATGTACATAAAAAACACATGTATATATTCATAAAACAATACATAGATAGTTGACCTAAAATTTCTCAGCAAGGGTAGTCGCAAAAATTATATTATACTATATGCATAAAAAACATTTTACATATATACTTGGAAAGCACACACACAAATATATATATATACATACAAAATACACATGTACATAATAATATACATCCGTAAATGTGATACGGTTCAAAACTCGAACAGTAAATGCGATATAGTTCTAAACTCGGAACAGTTTCTCACTGTTCATCCCTACATGAAACCGAAATTCACTACATAAAACCAGCCGGACATTTCTTGATAATTGAGGCAAGCATATGTATATATTCATGGTATACTATTGGTTACGGATCTTGAATGAATATTATCGCGAATATCGAATTGATAGAATGCAGTAAATCAAAATCAAAATCGCTCACGCATACGTTTCGATCACCGGAATGATATGAGTTTAAAAAATATACATGTGCTACTTTTGACATCCTAAACCCCAGATGGCAGGTAAATTGCAGAGTAACAAATCTGATACTAATCAAGAAGTTTTTCCGTTGCAAGACTTTTCTTCATCAACACCACGTATATTCAAAACAGTGTTTAGGCACTGGTCGGAATTAAGGCCAGTGTACCAGACATATCAAACTTCATTATGATTGTGTGATCACTTAGACTTACCTGTGAGCCCGGTAGGCAGCAAGGGATGATTGTTACACATTTGCGATCTACATCGGCCAAAGTCAGCTCTTTGATACTTCTCCAACTGGATATAACAAGTGCACATGTTGATATAAAGCGATATTTGAGATATTGACGAATATGATGTACGAGTATAACCCCAAAATAAATGAAGCTTCACACAACAGTGCCGTTTAATAGCCGTCTGAGTATCTCATTGTTCGAATAAACAACCCAAAGCTAACCGAAATACGGCATACGTGAAAGTGGCCGCGCTGTGACAACCAAACTGTTCAGGATTATGCTTTCACAGACTCAATATAGGTACAAGTACCAAAACAATTCCTTACCATTTGTGCCAGCCCCCGAGTAGTTAATATATATCGAGCATGAATGAGCCCATACAGCCTCTCCGCACTTTTCACCACGCGTGCGTACTGGTCCTGCGTCAAATCATCTAAATCCTCATCTAGCATGCAGGAAAGTGCTTTCGAGTAGTTGTGTACCTGCCACAGGTGTAATTTGGAGTCACGATACCTGAGTACGAGCGCTTTTCACATCAATGCTCAATGCGGTAACACACGAACAAACCAATATAGATATCTGTCAGTCGAGAACACCTACAGGCGTGCATGCAGCATTCCTTTGAACGCGAAGGTGGGCGTAAATGTTTGCCCACACGTGGTACCTATGAATCACACAACAAACTTTTAGGGCACTTGCTACTCAAATTCTGCACTCCAGACTGGATAAGATACAGATTGTGTGCACATACATAGATTTGGGTACACAGAAACGAATACAGTGTTAGTGTATATGTGCCACACTGACTTGTACACGCGAACCGTTCTCGTAGTAGGTAGTATATGACATACATATGCAGGCTCAAATACAAGTATGATTGGGCGTCTACATGCATTAAAAAAATAGAAGAGTATACATATGCATTAAATATTCATATTTGTAGAGGTAAATTGGATGCCTCAAGTAAACCATTCTTAGTCTATGTGTACATGCACACATAAATCGATTTCCAACAGAATTTCGAAATACGAACATGAAAATTGTGACTTCTCAAGGCGAGTTGACAAGGCAGTGTGTATTCCATTTAGTGAGATGATATCTACCAATGTTATAGATGGATAACACACACACACATATATATGCTTGCAAATAGAAAAAGTAAATATACGCTTGCAAATATCAAAAATAACCATGAAAAGAAATAAACAAAAAAATGCACACGAATAGACAAGCATATCAATCTAAACTTCGAAATCCAATGTGGAAACTGACATACGAGCTAGTACATAAACGATTCTAACGCATAAAAACTATAACAAATATATAGAAATCTCACATGGAGCATGGGCAGCTTATGTGTATATTATACGGTCAGAAAAAAACATACGAAGACAAAATACAGACAGACAGAATCATCAAACCATTTGAGCATGTATGGATACAAATCTATACACTTGCATATTCTAAGTACCACAGAGTGCTGCTTATAACTATAGTGGCATACATCAAGATATATACACCTACATCTATATAAGTACGAACAAATATACATCCGCACGTATATGAAAAGGTACAACTATCGCATACATACACATGTATATACGAATATTCAAATATACCTAATCACAGTGTATAAATGCATAATTAATCAAGAGTTTATTTCGTCAAAAATATATACATAGGCGAATCTATGCACTGGATAGGCAAAACACAAGGATATCTCGGAAAAAGATATATGTATATATAGGGGTAACTGCTTCGATGTGAAAATACATACGTGTTAACTAATACAAATTCACTGCGAAAATGAATGTAGTTCGTCATGTGATAGGACAGTAAATAACAACAGCTTTCAGGAAGTCCGCCACTTTGTATATGGGCAGGGAAAACAAATATTTATTTGACAAGAACAATATACGAATCGATGTATATGTATTTTCTTTTGCGCTTGAAAAGCCAAACACACGCATGTGATCCCGCACATGATACAATACATAAACGTGTAAATGAACAAATATACATACAAAACCACACACATACATATATACATATTCCAAGCATCTACGTGGATTATAGACGACAAATTGTACATAGTACATGAAACGACGGATTAACGTATATGCATACACACACACATATATATACATACATATACACATACATATCTCAAGGACATCTATGTGGAATATGAAAGGCAAATTATCAAGACGTCGCACATACAAATTCCAATCAGGGAAAAAAAACACGAAAACGAAACATAATGTTGTTGAAAATTCAGGTATTGATTCAGCCGCAATATCGTATATTTGTGGTTATATGCACGTATATGTGTTTTCCATTGATGTGCAAAGCTTTTCAGGTGGTAATCATATTTCACACATACACGATCAGAGCTTATACGCACAATCTAGACTGAAATGATCTGAGTCGATCATCTGTATTGGCTGAATTTGTAAACTATCTCAAAAAAAATTCCGAGCATATCTTAGTACGTTTATATAGGTATGTCATATATAATCTCGACAGTGAATTCCACACTGTCAGTTCGAATTTTGCATAAACAGTCTTTCCATACGTGTATCAGAAGCGTTGCACAATCCATATGAATACACTCACATATGTATATAACAGTTCATACCCAGACATCGTAGTTGTAGAAAGTCGTTCTTGAATGTGCGCTTACTATATAAAATCTATACACACACACACATACATATATATATATATATCGCCATCCGTATGAAGTGCTACATCATGCGTATGCGTGTGCACGTAATTTTCGCAATGTAGGACCGAAAACATTTTCTATATACCATCATACGCACGGCCGTGCCCTTGCGTTCGAACTCTACACATACGCAATTATATATGCGTGTACAAGTACACGTAGCAGCAGAACATTTGTGCTGTAGACTTTCGAAAAGTATAGTTATCTATGGACACATGAAAACACAACAATGTTTACCAACGAACATGCTTGTACAATTATTATTAAAGGGTACTAGGACATCCAATCCCATTCAAATTATACTTAGGGCTGCCTACGATCGAATTCAAATTTACAAAATAAATATATAAAGTACAATGTGTACAACAAATATATATATATATATATATCTATATGCATAAATATGTGGACAAAGTAAAACTAGCACCCAAATATATATATATATATATATATTAAAAATATAAACATATCCATGCATATATTTACTTGTACTTGTACACTCATAAACATAAGTAGGAATACACTAGTTAAATATCGGAGAGCGATTGTGCTACACTGACCTTGTAGTGCTCACAGGTGTTAAATTGGAAATGTCGCACTCAAAGATTTACCTGCGGTCGAAGACCAAAGAGATTAAAAGCATCCTCTATGTACGATTCTTCCACAGCACAGTAGAACTTGTTGGAGTTCTTGTGTATAAAGGTCTCAATCCAGGACGATGTGTCCGAGCTCAACGAGACGTCCATCTTTCGCCTCTTCGAACTATTATCTAGTGACGTGTGGTTGATTCTGGCCGCGACCGCAGCTTTTAAAACTGCGCGATGGGACGTCGACGGGAATGCGGTTGTGATGTTTGTGGGTGATATACGTTGCCGTGAATTGTGGTTTGGTTGTGCCGATGCTCGTAGATTTGCAGCAGCACGACGAAGATTGGCTGTCTGTCTATAATTATGTGCGTGTGCGCCTGGATCAATATCTGATTTTGGTTCAACTGGCTTCTTTGCTGCCGGTTTTCGTTGGGATTGATGTGCTGCACTATACTCGACTTCTCGGTCACCTGCTTTGCGAAATACGCTCCTGTAATGTCGTTGTATTCTGTACGGAAAATTCGGAAAATTTATATCGAGTGTGTGTATATTTATACGTGCATTGGTATATGTTGACCTAAAGTGATTTAGACCACTACCATTCACTGACTTCGAATGGAAGAGTGTTCTCAGCGGAAAGAGAAACTGTGCTTCTCTAAACGAATTCATACACTTTATTTCCTAAAGTACATACATATAGAGTATATGACTATATGGTGTAACAGCGAATGCTCACTCTAAACCCTATGTTTGTTGATTTTAAGACTGAAAGGAACACTCACATGTCTTATATTAATTTCCTACCTTCCCTCGGCCCGTCCCCTGTTTACGTCGTGCGTTTTAGCCACTGTAGAGGGATCAAGATAAATAAAACCGGTTGGAATCAATTTCTTCAACGCGAGTGGATCAAAGTCCAAAAGTTCTTGATGATTCTGTGTCCTCAGATCAAACTCACTCACTCTCACAGACAGTCTCACACAGCAGGTCAACAATTTCGTTTTCAGAGACTCGGTCAATACCTACTCTCGCTCTGCCCTAATAAATTCAGGCTATAAATTTTAAAACCATTTGTTTATCCGCTGTTCAACCAGGGTTTATTGAGAAAAAATCATCGGCATTTTGAAATTTTGAAATTTTAGGCAGCTGTGTGAGAGAGTCAGTGACTCAGTGACGCACAGATCAGCTGAAATTTAGGCAGCTGTGTGAGAGAGTCTGTGACTCAGTGACGCACAGATCAGCTGAAACCTGATGGCCGGTTTTTATTTATTTTTTAAACCCAAAATAAAATAAAATTGCCGTATCACGCCTCACTGGTATTTATTGATTATGTAATGCCACATCACATCTCTAAGTAAATAGTAAAAATATCTAAAATATTCGACAATACCACATTTTGATTTCAGTAACGTTATATTTAGCTAGGTACATATATTATCCATTCATGATATGCCATACCAACTAATACATGGCTGATTACTACGATAGTAATACAAACACAAGGTACTACCGAAATCAAACATGAAGCTGTATATATACAACTATTTCATCATTTTGAATGTGTAGAAATGGTCATAGAAAGAGTAAAGACTATACATCAATAGCTTGAAAAAAATGATCACATGATGTTTTTTTTACATATAGATTCTATGATGGTTTTTGTGCTAAGAAGCTCTGTCATTTAATATCATAATGACAACTGACGATAGCTACGACTTGAAACACGTTGCGTTGCATGCTAATATTAAAACACCACATCAATCCAGAATCTCAAATACATCATACAAATCCATTGCAAGATAGACTATAGATTCGTTCTCCATCATAACTAATGTTAAACAATTCGATATGCATCGACAGAGCAAAATATATACTGTGTCAAGGCGTAAAACACAATTAAACAAGAGTATAACGAATACCAAATCCCAAACACCAGTTTGTAGTGTCTGCAAGACTACGAACATGTAGTAAATAAGGTGGATGGCCGAACCAACTCACGTAGTAACACTAGGTTGGTTGGTTTTAGTGATTCATATGGTAATAAATAAAAGTACTATGTAGTAGATATCCGGAACGATTGCAAGTTCAAATCTTATATTGTTCGGTAAATTTTGTGATGGAACAAGCCAATCAATTGTGTCTACTAGAGGTCAGCACTATTATCCAGCGGGTGGGTTGTTTAGAGAAATAGGACCAGGGGAGTGGCAATAAGGTTCGATAATAATTTCTAAAAATTGTACAAAAAAACAATTTCGAACGTTCCCCGGAATTTCAGGACAATAATAGTCCCAACAATCAGGCCAGGGGGTGGAGTTTTATTTGGTTCTTGTTGTCTCAATATTCTTCTAAAAGGAATGTATGTAATCATAAAAATCTTATCCTGTGTATCATCGCTCATATAATAAACAGCAATAATATTTTGGAAGTAAACACGGGCATTATTCGATGGGTGTAATGCGTATATTCGTCAATAACGTCAACGATTGCACTACGGTCGAGGCAAATAGTAGGCATGAAAATCAAGCAGTCATGACCGAGTTTCGAAAAACCAAATTTGGGTCTATTAATGTGCATAGCGAGATATCTTTGTGCACGTCGCGTATATATTCGGTATATGGTTAGCGCTCGGCACTGTGTCAAAGATGGAGTCACTCAAGGATCTCCCGAAAAAGATCGGAGACGGAACCAAAAAGTTCGGGGAAGGGACTAAAAAGATTGGTGAAAGTATATTCGATGGCACCAAAAAAATAGGCGAAATGACCTTGTCTGGCACTCGACGACAGTCGAGAACAGGTTTGCAAAGGACTGGTCTGAGCAGAGTCCTTCGGATCGATGAAGGTAACGGTCACAGCATGAGTAGCGTGCGTGGTATAAACAATACTCAAAGCAACGCGTCAGCTTCCACTGCGGGGAAATCTAGGAATGTCTCTCAAAACCGTACCGAAGTAGGTTCGATGGTCAACAGGAATGCAGCTACTAATACCGACTGGGATCGCAAAAATCCCCCGGGACGACCTAAACCACCAGCAAAACCTCCGCCGCCGAAGTATGTACAGAATTCAGAGTGTATTTCTAATCTATTTTTCCAATCGGGGTATACATTCATATATATATATATATATATATATATATATATATATATATATATATATATATATATATATATATATATATATATATATATATATATAATATATATATATATATATATA